AAAAAGGACCCTTTAATTAATTATACGTAATTGAGATTCGCGAAATCGCGATTTTTGGAAATTTCTTTGGGGCTTAAGGTATAAGTGGTTCGCTTCGCTTGGAGCATTTCCCCGGTATTCCGGGATATCGTTTGGCGAGAGGGGAATAGTTATCACGTATAGCTATTACGTAACTACGATCTAGCCATTTAACCGTAATTAGGCGTATTCACCTGTAGTGAATACTGTGGTCTTTTGGTCCAGTGAACTATAGTACGAGCCTAATTCTCACATATTACAATTTATAAATAATTTAAATAGTTTAAATAGTTATTATATAATTATAATAAAATCGAGGTTTATTTAATAATTATTAAATAACTAAGGTATTTATTAAGTAGCTATAATAAATAAAAATAGGCGTTATATAAAACTAGCTAAATATTAATTTTCTATAATAATAAACTAATTATTTTCTTTAAAATCTTGCTTTTTTTCTTTTTTCTCTTTCTTTCTTCTATCTTTTTGGCCTCTTCTAATTCTTCTTTAAATAATCCCTAGCTTTTTAAATAAAATATTATCTTAAAATTATTTTTATTAAATCTATTATATAGCTTAGTAATAATAAAAGTATTTTAAAAGAAAAGCCTTTTACTAAAAGCTAAGAAAACCGGGATTCCTAGATATTTCCTAGCTATTAAAGCTAAAACAGGAAGTCTAGCTATATTAGACTTCTAATAATCTAATAACTTAATTTATATATATATTAGTATTAATATATTAAAAAATATTAAGGAAATATTAGATAATTATTTAATAGAATTCAAGTAAATTTTATTTATTCTTTTATTTATTTTCTTTTTTTCTAAATAAGTTATTAATTTATTTTCTATTTTAGAAAACGAATTAGTAATATATATATCTAAATTATTAGAACTGGAATTAGCTATATTAAAACCCAAGAAATTAGATCTAGCTTAAGATATATTATAATTATATTTATATCTAAATTAAAGAATTACTTATATATTATAACTAGTTTTTAATCTATTATATATATCCGAAGATATACTATTAGATAAACTAATACTAATTAATTTTTCTTATTTAATTCGAGAATTAAAATAAATAGTAAAATTATATTTAAAATATTATTTAAATAAGTAATCTTAATATTAGTTAAAACTAGACTTTTATTTTTAATAGCTTTATAAATATATAATAAGTTAAAGACTATTATGTTTTTTAATTTATAAATAATTAGTATTAATTAATAATTATTTATTTATTAAGTTAAGGAAATCGAGTATTTTATATATTAAAAGCTTTAATTTAAGCTTTTAATAGCTATTAGTTTTCTTAATTATATTTAAAACCTATAATAATCTTTTTAACTTTTCTCTAAATTAATAAATCTATAATTTTTAATAAATTTATAATTATTAATAAATCTATAATTATTAATAAATCTATAATTATTAATAAATCTATAATTATTAATAAATTTATAATTATTAATAAATTTATAATTATTAATAAATTTCCTATAAATTATATAGAAAACTTATTTACTATTAGTTTTCTCTTTACCTTCTTTTCTATTTTCAAGTTCTCTTATCTCTTATTTATATAAATCTATAAAATAAGAAATATTATAATTGTTTTTAATAAGAGCTTTTAAAATATTTTAAATTACTAGATTTAGTATATAAGCTATATAAGAAATATCTCTTTGAAATTTAATACCTTCCTTATTATAGTACTTTATAAAAGCCTTTAGTAAGATATTATTTGAGCTAGTATTATTTTAAATAATATTAAATAAAATATATTAGTAATTATTTAATAAATATTTAAAATTATTTATTTAATAATATTATATTTAATATTATACTATTTTAAAACTTCTAATAAAATAGAAAGTATATAAATACTAGAATATATATTATTTAAGTCTTTTATAACTAATAAATAAGATTTTAATATAAAATCTTTAAAATAAAATTAGTATATTTTTTTAAAAGAATTAATTAATTAATAATTTATTAACTTATATAATAATATTAAGAAAGGCCTTTTAATTTATATCTATTTAAGTATTTAAAGTAATAAAGAAAGTTCCTTAAGATTTAATATTTTCTTTTAATTCTTTTTTAATATAATATAATTTAAGTTTATTTATAAGGGGTTTTAAATATATAATAAATAGTTAACTATAAAATATTAATATATATATAAATAAAGAGAATTATAATAAAAACTTATTTATTTAAATAAAATAAAAGCTTTTTAAAGCTTAATATAATAATAGCCCAAAAAGAAATATTATTATTAATAATAAGGCTTAATAATAATCTTTTAAAGTAATTAATAATAAAGTCTTTTTTTCGTTATTCTAATTAATTAAAAGACTTAAAAAGCTTTATTTTTATCTAATAAATATATTAATAAAATTAATATTTTATTTAATATAAAATAACTTACTATTATTTTCTTTATTAAAAGTCTTAAAACTAATAAATTTATATAAATTTCGAAAATAAATATAGTAATTACTAGTTTAAATATATAATTATTAATTTATCTATTTTTTACTATTATATTAATTAGTTAAAAAATTATTAAATATTAATATATTAATTTATAAATAATCTCGAACTAAGTACTTAATAGTATATATATAAGCCTTTTCTGGATCTTCTTATATAGGATCTAATATTTTCCCTAAATAGTCTTTTTTAAAAAGATAAGATTATTTATTAAATAATTTTAAGCCAAACTTATTTTAATTAAGAATTACTAAGATATTTTCGAGTATATCAAATATATATAATAGAAAATATATAAGTAAAAATATTAATTAAGTTTTTTTATATAATTAAAATAAGAGAAAAATAAAAAATCGAGGAAAATAGTATATTTTTATAGAAAATTCTAATCCTCTAAAAGCTTTCTAATTATACTTCTAATTATAAAGAATTCTATTATCTCGAAGATTCTAGCTATTTGATTTCAAATTCTTACTAATAGAATTACTATTATTACTAAATACTTAAATTAAAGTAATTCTAGAAGTATTATAAGGCTTCGATTTATTTACTAAGCTATACTATTACCTAATTAGATAGTAAGGTAATACTAGAGTAGAAGTAGCCGGGGCTTTATCTTATTAGGCTAGCTTTATTATATATATCCGTTATATATATATTATTTAAACTATTTATAAATAGCTTAAATAGAATATAAATAAAATATAAGTAATATTTTATTTAGTTAAATAAAGTATAAATAATATTTATTACTTTATTTTACTTTATTTATTTAATATATTATATATATAAGTATTCTTATTTATATAATAGTCTATATTAACTTTAAATTTACTAATAACTATAAATTGGGTTTTTATTATTATTAAGCTTTAAGAAATCCGGAACTTTTATATAATATAATTTGTTATATTTAAGAACTTTAATAGCTAAATATATTTATTTAATAAAAGAAACTAAAGAATTAGATATTATATTATAATATTTAAATTAGAAATATATATTATTTAAAATATAATTTCTATTAATAAAATATTTTCAAGAAACCTCTTCTATATTAAATAAATAAGCTAAACTAGAAGCTAAACTATTTAGAGTTATATAATTAGTCTAGGTATTTATCTAAATCTTAATTTAAACTTATTAAAATAAATATTAAATAAAATAAAAGATTTTATTCTAGAGATATTCTTAATATTAAATATAAGAAATAGAATTATAGGATATAAATAAAAACTCTTAGAAGAGCTATTAATATAAGAAGCTATATTAAAGAAGTAAATATATATAATTTATATATAGAGAATTATTTTTTAGAAATAAATAATTATTTTAAAAGAAATATTTTAAAGCTTTTCTAGACAAAAAGAGAACAGTTTAGTTTAATATCATAGTCCTATAAAAAAAGCCTATAAATAAGGCACTTATAGAAGAACTATTTATTAAGAAAACTAAGCTAAAAAGAAAAAAGAATTTCGAGCTAAGATTTCTTAAATATTTATAGTTCCTTGCTTATAACTTGACCTAATAGGATTTAGTATCCTAAATTTCTTAGAATATAGCTTTTCTTAGCTTTATTATATATAACTATTATATAACTTTAGATATGAAATACCAGATACTAAATTCAGATATTAAATACTAGATACTAAGCTAAATAAAGTATTAAATTATAATATATACTTCTATTTTAATTTCTCTTATAAATATTTTATAATAATTAAAATCTATTTTATTTCTAGCCTTTATATATTATTAAATAATAATTAAGATTATTACAATTATATATATTATACTTTTAATATTCTAGAGCTTATATATTATATTTGAATTAAAATTCTTTTATTTTCTTATAATATAAATAATATAATAGTAAGGAAATATAAGTAAATTTTACTAAAAATTATTAAATAATTATATTATATAAGAATTAAAAGAAAGGAAATAAACCTTTATAATATTCAAGTCATTAGATTCTAATAAATAAAGAGAAAAAATAGAAACTAGAATTAATTAAGTTCATTTCTATAATTATCTTTTATAACTATCGGAATTTTAATAAAAAATATAAGAACCCTTCTCGAATTATAATTAAGAGCTATTTTTTATAAAATAACTAAAAAGAATATATTAATAAAAAAGCATATATTAATAATCTTTAAATATATAAATATATAATAAGCTATTTTTGTCTTATATTTTATTTAATTAAATATATCTAATTATATTTGTTTTAGCTTATAATTTCTTATTATATAAAATTACAAATAGAATAAAAAAGACCGAGACATTTTATAACAGGCTAATATAGTTTGTCTAAACTATAAGTATTTAAATAAAATCTATTATACTTAAATATAAATATTGAGACTACGAGATATTAGAATCTGGATGATTTTGAGTCGCAGAACATGTGATATAGGTACTTCCGTATGCTCAAATCAAGCAATACCACATTCCTTAGAATAATAGATAAATAAGTAGCTAGTTACAGGAGATGCCCCCTATATCCTATACCTGAAACACCGGTACCTTCTCACGTAACATTAGCGTTTCAGCCACGTGCTAGCAAACCGTCACAGAACTTCCAGTTCCTTTCTCAAGCATGCTACTCAGCTGCAACATCTTCCTTGTGCAAGATATCATTCTTAGGATACTCCAACGGCTCGAGTTCTGGATCGCCAGAAAACAGACGATCGACAGCCTCGAGCTCCAGTCCCTTTGTTTCAGGAAAGAAAATGAAGATGATTGGCACCCAGAGAGCATTGAGAGCCGCAAAGATGATGTACGTCTTCCAGCCAATGTTTTGGGTTGCAATGGGCGTGATTTGGACAATCATCTAAGAAAAGTGTCAGCTCGGACGAACCAGACAGACAGACTCATTCCTACGTAATTGAAGATCCAGTTGACTGCTGTGCTTATGGAAGAACCTCGCTGGCGAAGGCGAAGCGGGAGAATCTCGGAGCTAAGAGGCACGTATAAATAAAGGGAATCAAGTTCTGTACAAAAAGAACTTACGGGTAGACCCAAACCGTGGCCTGGAAGCCTATTGTAAAGGCCCCCTGGAAGACAAAAAGCATAGCCGCCGCGCCGATTCCAGCACCATGTGCAATGGCCGTGTTGTTCTGTACTTGGAAAATGAGACCTGCTTGTACGGCCATGACTGCTGCCATAAGACTAATCATAGAGAGGAGCTGATTCATGTTAGTTCCATACTTCAGGCCTCAGAAACACAATCATGAATCCAAGGCAAAGCGCCCCAGATGTGATTCATGGCTTGGCTTCTGTTTTATGAGGTTGCTTACCAGAGGTCTCCGCCCAATGCGATCAATCAGAAACCATGGAATAAATGAGGCTACAAAGAACCATGTTTGTAAATATCCACTCATCAGGGAAGACATATGCGAATCAAAGCCAATGGACTTTTCAAACAACCTATTATTATGTTAGCCGTTGTGCTTGATAAATGGCCAACCCTGCATGTTGTGTCCTTACGTTCCAGAGTAGTAAATAATTGCGTTGATGCCTCCGAGCTGTTGGAAAGCTTGTATTCCACAAGCAATGAGGAGACGCTTCTGACTTTTGATGTTATCGTTCTTGAGCAAGTCTTTCCATGAGCCAGCTCCAATCGAAGCTTCGTAAGCAACGGTCTGGAGAATCTCGCCATGTAACCTCTGAACCGCGGCCTCGTCATGAGCCCCCCGAAGTCTTTGTAGAACTTTGAGGCACTCATCCGGTCTGTCGTGAGCAGCAAGCCATCTCGGAGACTCGGGGATAATAAGAAGGATGAGCAACATCGGAACCAGAAAGATACATTGGAGAATGGTGGGAATCCTCCATGCAAAGCTGCTGGTGTGTGTCGAAAAGGCATAGTCGATCCAATAGACGAAGAAAATCCCGAAGTTGAGGGTGGAGAGCTGCGCACAGACAACTGAAGGTATATCAGTATCACATGCTCTACTAACAACTTACCACACCTGACTTACATATTCCTCTCGTCGCTTTGGGTGAGAACTCGGCCTGCAGAACGGGTACTGTAGAGTTGATTGCACCCATGCCGACTCCAGATACAATTCGAGCCACAATCATCTGTATCGTCATTAGCATACGCGCCAAAGAAAATAATAAGAGGATGGCGGACTTGAGCACGACTGTACGACGTTGCTTGAAGGAGTGCTCCAACAATCATGACAATAACGCCACCGCCGATACTCTTGCGTCTACCGAGCTGCTCACCAAGAGCGGCCGTAGTGATGGCTCCAAAAAAGCATCCTATTTCGTAGATTGCCACTATCAGCCCAACCATCGTGGCATTAGGATTGTCGAACGCATCGGTGAAAGCCTTGCCATTAACTAGGCTTGATTAGCACGATAGTGTGTGAATCTACTCTCTTTTCTATGTAACACTCACCAAGTCCGCCCATAAGTCCATTGTCAAAACCGATCAGTAGAAAGCCAAGAGATGTCAAAACTGTGACAGCACCTAGAAGACTTTGCCCTCGAAGCTCGACGACCATGACGAAGGATGGAGACAATCGATTTGGAATTCTTGATATCTTGTATTTGGGTTCTCGGGATCTCTGCAAAGATTGCAGGGAAACGTAAATGGGGTACGCAATATTTATAGCTGTCTACAGTCACTCACTCGAGGATTGCCGCCCATAACACAGACCATCAGGCTCGGCAAATGCCCTCCCCGCCAGCTTGCGTAGCGCAAGCCACATCTATCGAGATGCGCAAATGGAAAGCTGGGGAACATGGGGATGCGGATGCGGAGAGAGCAGCTGCAAGCTACATCGCAGCAGACAAGATTGTCGTCCGGGGTCGGCAAATGTCAACGGTCTCCTAAGGGCCCGTTTGGCCAGACACCTGCCCTTTTTTCCGGTACAGGGGCGGTAATGATATTACCTGCCCTTTCCTATAATTTCCTTACAGGGCAGGTAAAGGGCGGGTAAAGGGCATTGAATTCCTTCCATGGGCGTTCGGCCTGGCATGTTAAGGGGCATTAATATTGAAGGTAATCAGGTGACAAGTCATGTGCCTGATCACGTGCAAGGCTAACTAGCCTATACTAGCAAGTATGTGAGAAGAGCTTCCCCCTTAACAAATTCTATAGAGTAATTAATTATACTTTACTTACTTCCACTGCATTGAGTGTGTATCTGTTGGGTAATTAAGGGCTTTGGCATGTGCAATTAACGCTAAAATGGCAAGTAAAGGGCATTAATGCCTGTATAATCAGGTTTTTTCTGACTATAAAGGTTTTACAGGGCAGGTGTCAATTTGTATGGGGGCTGTGAAGGGCAGGTAAAAGGGCAGGTAAGAGGGGTGGTAATTAAATTACCGCCCCATTACCGCCCCTGGCCGAACGCAACGAGGGCAGGTGTCTGGCCGAACGGGCCCTAAGTGCTGCAAGTTTCGTGTCAGGGATTCTACGGGGCATGCCATGTATGGGGTGGGCGCTCGGCGGTTAAATGAACACGGCTGCTTCATTTTTCAAGTTGAAATCAATGCAAATAAAACAGTTGAAAGTTTCTTGCAAATACGTGGCTTTCTTTGGACATATTCCACAAAATTGGTTGGTAGTAATTAGGTTACATGGTGCACCAATATTTTCTCCAGTATGGGAAAGCATCATCCGTCAGCAATTGACAAAGACTCGCAAACGCTAACCTTACTAAAAGCGGCAAGTTTCTCGTCGGCCTTTGACTGTTCAATACGCGACGTCAGGTCATCAACGCCATGCGTCCTGGTGGTCTCTCGGGTGAAGGACACGCATCACCAAGAGGAGTTAAGTTGTCCCCATGCGGCAAACGATCCAAAATGTGGAGACCATAGTTTGATTTATTAACGTGCTCGTCCTTCTTGGGCCATGACGCGACAGCACAACCCTCACGACAGAGCCACGATGTCAGGGGCGACAAGTTCTTTCACAGTTCACGAAGAGTCCTTCAAGGACATCCTAGGATCGACCCCAAAGCTGGAATGCCTTCTGGAAAACCAGGTTTATCCATTTGCTCATGAAGCAGGTGTATTCATCCCAGAAGACAATACCTTGTTTATTACGAGCAATCAATTTCCTGACCCATTGAATGGCGAGAAGAATATTCAGATATCCAAGGTCACTTTTGCCGGTGGCTCGGTTACGTGCGAGAAGATCCAAACAGAGCATGTTCCCATGGCCAATGGAGGCGTGAACTATCAGAGCGGGATTCTTTTCTGTGCCCAAGGCACGAAGTCGTCCCCTGGAGGTTTAGCTTTCATGTCATCCTCTCCTCCATACCAATCTTCAATGCTTCTCACAGACTTTTATGGACGTCATTTCAATTCTGTCAATGATGTGGTGGTCCATAGCGACACTTCTCTTTGGTTTACAGATCCGAACTACGGTTCTGAGCAAGGAATCAGGCCGAGGCCAGTACTTCCAAATCAAGTCTACCGGTACGATGCCAAATCGAAGGCAGTGAGAGCAATGGCAGATGGCTTTGGAAGGCCAAATGGGATTTGTTTCGGCCCGGATGAGAAGATACTCTATATCACCGATACAGATTGGATACATGGTGATGGTACCACTGATCTCACCCGAGCTTCAACTATGTGAGCGAAAGCCTGCTTTCATCGTGCTTGCCATCTACTGACAAGAATTTGGCAGATATGCCTTCGATATCGTAGCGTACTCTGGGCAACCATTTTTGATCAATCGAAGACTATTTGCATTCGCTGCTGTGGGTGTTCCTGATGGGATCAAATGTGATATTGACGGCAATGTTTACAGTGGTTGCGGAGACGGAATTAATGTCTGGTCCCGGGGTGGAGTTCTCCTAGGGACCACTGTTGTGGAAGGAGGGGTAGCGAACTTCTGTTTTGGGAGACGGCGAGCTTTTCATCCTAAACGAAAACAAATTGTGGCGTGCACAGCTCGGCGAACATGCCAGAGGCGCGCTTCTCAGAATCTGATGGAGAGTGAAAGGTATTGCATGACCTGTAGAGATGCACCTGTATCCTGAACTGAATGAGATAAGTATTTCGAAATGGTGGAATGCCGTGCACTCTGATCGATACTTCAAAGATGGGAGAGGCCTTCAGACGCATACTCCAACCGAGAGCTACAGGTTAGTTTTACCGTCGGCGTTTGACGCATCGTTGCCCCTGTTAGCCCCGCCAACTATACCTCATCCGGCTTGGATTCACGGCCAATCCTATGGGATACCATGCGGCTACAAGGGATATGAGGAGTTCAATCACTAACTATCACCTTTCGGTAGCTTGCGTTTGATGTTTACTGGTCCATTATGTGCTTTTTGGGCTGCCGGGAAGAGAGCTGCTATATGCTTGGGAGAGCCATGTCAACTTGGTGGGTTGAAATGTGGAGATTAAGACTAGTAGATTTGAGGGATGAGACGAAGGCGTCGCTGGCGGTGTAGTTCGACAGGGCGAGATGGACGACTTCGGCGGCGAGCTGGTAGGCATATACTGAGCCAATTTCGATGGAGTTATGGTTATGACAAGTCGTACGACCCCACCTAATGCTCCAGTTATGAGGGCCAGGCGGGCTGTCTATTATGGCTAAGGGGAGAGACGGTAAAGATGAAGAGAGCGCTCATGAAAACAAAGAAAAATTTGAGACTAAACACAATTATAGTTAAAACACCCCAAACAATCTTGATGAGGAGTCGTCACCCCCAGCGGCAGGATTCCGGGAGTTATTAGCCGGGTAGACTGTTCAAAGCCGACAGACACCGTCTATACGAGACGCAGCACCTATATATGGGTTGACAGAAAAAGCTTAATTTTCAAATACCGACGTAACATCGGCTATCAATCCCCTGTTTTTCTGTTCTTTCAACCCGATATTCAAGTATCCGAAACGCCAGCATGTCCTAGCGTGCTCTATGGGTCTCGTCCACTCGCCTGAATCTACCTAACCCACCCCATGGGGGCGTGTTGGGCGGTTCTCCTGGGAGACTTGCTCTCCAGAAGCTTTCTTCTCGCTGCTATATTGACGTGGATGTCACGGGACGAGATAGTCTCGAAAACGACGATTCATATATCCTGATGCTAATATCTCGAATATTTAGAAGCTGAAGGGCTTAACATTATCTCTCAATGGCAGCCTCAAGTTCGGAGCAAGTAGTACACCACAAAGCTACAAATTTGATAATGGATGTTCGAGGGAGGCCGAGCAGGGCCGTTCGAGTACGAGCAAGCAAGCAAAGCCAATGGTCAGACCTGGACTAGCAGCGCTTGCTGGCACACAAAAAGTAGAGCAAGCCTTGGGAGTGGATCTCTGGCAAGTTCCCTGGAAGGACACGGCCCGCAATTTGCACGCGCTGGAACATGGCCCGGCCCAGAGTTAAGTAGGCTTACCCCGCAAATGGACAGCAAGCAGCTCGACCCCTTTGCGGGCCGAGAAATTAATTGACTGTCTTCAACCGGTGATATAAGGGGAATTGGACGATTTCCGAAATGTTGGCTCTTTGAATACCTGTGCTTGCGCGGGCCAGTGGGTGTGGAAGCTATGGACATCCGGCAGAGGAACGGGGCTTGGGGAGGGAGGGAAGGAGAGTTAGAGGTTCCTTATTACTTGCTAGGCCCAGCAATGTTATTAATCAAAAATAACTGCGAGATTAGCTATATAAATTGGTTATTTTACTTTCTAGATATTATTATATTATATAAATTTCCCCAAACTTTATGCAAATTCTGAGCAAGGCTCGGCCTAACGTCCGCAGCTTTCTTAAGTGGTTGGGAGAACCCGATGCATCTTGAAATACAATGCACGGCTTCGCTGGACTCAGGGTACCCCCAGCTGCGACACGTCCCCACGGGTCGTCTCGGTTAGGGTATGCATATGCTGTGCGACCCCAAAGCGGGTGCTCCGTAGAGTGTTTTGGTACGTCTGGAGAAGTCGGTGGCTTCAAAATCTTTCAGCTCTGGAGTCCCTGAGATCGAGAAAGCCAGTAGACATCGTGAACTTAAGACGCTCGATATACCTGCTTGCCCATTCCCAGGTTCTTCTTCTCTTCTTACGGAAATACGAGCAAATTGTTGTCACTTGAATTGAGGAAGAGCACTGACCCTTGTTGCATGTGAGAATATGCAGAGTGGGTGGATGAAGGACTAATCTCTATAGAGGGTGAAGATTGCAACCTGTGGGGGAGGATTGCCACGTACATGAAACAGACAATAGTACTAGTCGTTATCTCGGCAGAGGGACACGTCACACCTACCTCTGTGTAAGCTGTGCGATCTCTAGCTGATGTAGTGGACACGTCACACCTCCATTCGCATGAGATATGCTTTCTATAGAGAAATGAACTGCCTTTACGAAGTACAGCTGTCAAATACCTCCCTCAGCCAATTTATTTCGTTTTTACTTGTCGCTCCACTGTGGTTTGCTTTTCGTTGCAGATTATCTTTCTAGGGATCTGTTAGACAGTGACCCAATTTGCATGTGTGAGAGGTATGTTCTTTCTTTTAAATACTATTACTTTAAGATAGGCACTCCATAAAAACTCTAGGGCCAGCCTCCCACATTTCTAGCCGACGGACCTAACCCCGGCAAGTGCGGTGATTTTTGACCGTAGACCCTCCAGCCCAAACTCGAACACTCTTATGAACATACGAACCCTTCTTCCTTGCAGGAATATTTATTTAGTTACTATTTCTTACTTTTCCCCCTTACTTAGGTTTCCAATGGCACCCCGCAGCGACCCCGCGGCCGGCGGACATCTATATAAGCTCTGGAATTACGAAGAATGTATGAGAAAACTTAAGTATAGACAGGACGATATTAAGATCGAGTATCTTGACATTTGGCAATATGAGGTCGGTACGCCCTTTTCTTAATTCAACTAACTTATACACTAACCGGAGAATAGGGGGAACAATCTCCTTCTATTACAGAACGGCTCGGAGAAAAACTCTGGATGAATGGCTACATACAGTACTTTTGCTGAGACTTACTCAATCTAATATTAATTACTAACTAAGTATTAGGAGCCGGCTTCTATTGAAGGCGGACAAGCTCTAGTCGGAAGGCTCCAGTTGATGTTCGTGTCCATCTTTTCCACCTTTTCTATGGAATTACCAGACTTGATTTGACTGGGTTTAAAGCTCCTGGCATGTATCACTCCATCGCGGTGAGACTGCCACTCCTGTGATCCCTTGGACGAGAGACGAATTAGAGACAATTTTGGGATCCTTCAAGCTCCCACTACAGTGCCTTCAAATACTGTCAGGAACTCGATTTGGATTCCAAAACTTCTCGGCCAATGAACCGGGGTGTAGTTACGGTCGATTTTTTGCGTATATCATTAGTTACTTTAATGTAAAAACAAAACTAATGATTATGCTCGAGAAGCATACATGTGGAGTACCCCTAGTCTTCGCCAGCCTTGCTGCGGTATAGCAGCTTCCTTTGACCCCAAAACGAATGTAACTTACTGATGGCTCCGATTCTTTGGAAAAGGATACCTCAACTCAATATCAAAGTTGTTGTCGTGTCTAAAAGAAGCTGCGCCATCTATGTTGCACTCTCTACTTCCCCTAACATTAGTTGCTGATCATGATATCGCATTTCGAGGATGGGATATCGCTTCCTTTTACGATGAACTACGAATCAAGTCTCAAAGTCTCTTTGTAACCGGGACTTGGGAATCCAATGCACCTCTTGTGAAGAATCTACTTCAACTCCCACTCCCAACAATTCTGGGCGGCTTACTAAATGACAATGTGAAGTCTATAGCATGTCGGGAAGTTGCTGATTCGCACGTTAATGCACTGCCTCTTATAAGGAAAGCAATCAATGAGACGAGGAAATGTGTTGCTATATTATCTATATCGTCATCTAGGCAACTTCGCTATGAAGAGATTTCAACCCAATTAGAACAAAAGATAGACTCTATGGAGGTTGGACTCAAGAGCAGCGAGCCTACTGAGGCCATTAGCGGGCTAGCGGACAAATCCGAGAAGCGAAAAGTGATTTTCTGATTTTCTGATTTTCGCGCCCACACCCCCCCACCACACCTTACTAAAAAAAAAAAGTACAGTATACACGCCTTATTCTCGACTACTCCTAACCCCCCCTTAGCTTGCGTAGTCCGTAAGGCAAATCCCATAGATTACGAGACACATCTCTATCTCCCTTACTCTCTATATCCTCCGTACTACCTATATTACTCGAATTATCTATATCTCCTTCGTCCTCTTCTCCTCTAGTATCCTCACCCTTCTCTGCTACAATCTCCTTCCCTATTGCCTTCTGACCTTATATCTGTCTTTATACTCGCTTTCTATATCTTATAGGTAGTCGAGGCTTTGGTATAAAAGGTTTTATAGATACGGAGCAAGGCTTTCCAGACTTAGTAGAATTAGTATTAAGTTAATAGAAAGTATAGACTTTACTATTATTATTATATCTGTAATTTATATAAGTACTATCAAATTCGCCTTCTATAACTATATAGCATTTAAAAGGGCCCCTCGGTCTCTTCTTATTACTATAAGTAGTATAAGCTTAAGAGAATTCGGTTCTATAAGTATATACCAAGCTTCCCTCTAGATTTGTCTTGCCTTTCTCTAATTTCTTTAGCTTCCTGTTCTAGTATAGCTCTATCTCTCTAATTTTAGTCTTATTATTAATTTGCTTTATTACTTTAGTAGTATTATTAGATAATATAAGGAAATTAAAGTATTATTATAGAGAAAGAGGAGAAAGTTATATATAAAAAAAAAATCAAGAAGTAGAAAGGTTTATTAGTTAAATATATTAACGGGAAAGAATATTATAGACTAAGTCTGGATTATTAGAAGGCATATTATAAATATTATCTTTTTACTTATTTATAGCTTTATTGCCTTTTTTACTAGTTTTACTTTTACTAGAACTATTACCTAAAACTATATTTAATATGTTTTTAATAAAGAAAAGCTTTAATAATAGTATTATATATTAAAATTAAAGTTATTTTCAGAAAGAGATTAAGATTAAAGTTAAGGCTAAGATTAAAGCT